GGAATGATTATGGCCGTTCAAGAAAGTCTCACTTTAGCAATTTTGTGGTGGTTCCGAAAAATAGCCTACAGGGGGGGGGGCTACGACACGCGGTGAATCACCACGTGAAAACGATTATTATCGTGTGGCAAGAGAGACCCTCTAGTGAGGACAGTCCTACGGATGCAGTCGTTCTCCACATCCCTATGATGGGTTCAAGTGAGTTGGCAAGTTCTGCATGGACCAATCAAAGGTTGTACGTGAGGCTCCTGTTTCGCTTCACTTCAAGCCCAAGGTAGATGGCGTCACCGTAGAGAGTTACGGGCACAAAATAGAGGTAAGCATGCGTGGAGAGAATATCAAAGGAAAGGTCATATTACCCAGTACGAGAGGATTCTGTGGTATGTACAGAGGGCAGCAGCAGACAGAGCAAAGGCAACGTTATGCGGTTAGTCGATAAAGATGAAGCCTTAACGTGCCACAATGAATCTGGCTGGTGATCGTGTATGTGGCAGTGGAACTTGACCGGCACAAATTACTTCAACTCCCGTTCGCCTCGAACAGGAAAATGTTCTAAAAGCTATGCGATGGCTCTTTTTTGCAACAAAAACTTTCTTGTGTGGACAGTGGGCACGACTGGTGGAGGGAGGGTGATGGTTGTTGCCAGCGCCATAGGTGGGAGGGCTCCAAGAGTGCGCTTGGAGACACCCACCCATCTCTTACAACAATGACGTGCAACAAGTGCCCGCTCACGATCGTGGCCAGTGCCTCTAGCACAAGCACGCCATGTTATGGGAAAAGTGCTGACCGAGGCGGGACTTGGACGGAAAGGTATCATAATAAGACAATTTTCTGGTTGAGTTCGCAGCAGTATATTTTCTTACATTTTGAGATAACAAAAGTCTCCGAAAGAAACGCTGAAAAGCTGAAGCAGTTTTGTCTTGCAGCTTGCCTCATGATTATTTTGAGCGAAGTTGTACCCTTCGAAAGATAGCAAATCAAACCTTCCTCCCTTACTTGGGCTAGAGGCACGATCCGCGGTCAGGTATAAAAGTTGAAAATATGGCATTGGGAGGGTAGTGTGGTCCGCGATAAACAAGTGCTGTGCCGGATTTCGCGGCAAAAAATTGTAAGGGAGGGGCGCTATAGGGGAATATAGGTAAGTGACGCCTTCTTTTTCCCAGTGACTTCGCCTTCAGGGGCCCGCTTTTCACTGAAAACGAAGCTGCGAGACTAAAAAGCATGAAAATCGTAACTTGTACGGTCACAGAGTTCATAAAGGGGAATCAGCTGTACGGATGAGAGCGCCGTGTTGAAAATGGAGTTGATTGGGCACGCACAAACTGAGCTTGGAATGACGTTGTATCTAGGGCGTAAGCCAGGCCCTTGCTGGGAGTGTTCTCGGTTCTTTTTTGCATTACTCTTCCCTGGAGAGTCATTTGGCGACTATAGATTTGTAACTGAGCGTCACTATCCGCAGTATGCAATTGTGGGGTGGCACAAACTTGACGATACGCTCTAAAAAACCCAAAATAAGGCCCTTATTATACGCTCCCATCAGCAAGCGTATGTACGAGTCTACCACGAGGTCAATCGGGTATGTGGCAAGAGAATCGTAATTCGTCAAGTGGACGTCGCGGTGCGACGTCGCGTCCTTTAATGACGACGATTCTGGGTGATATTGATCGAGAATAGGCAATGTATGACCAAAAATAACCATAAATGTCTACGATATCCTTGTCTGCATGAAATCCGATGCTCCTGTCGGAAGGGTAATGCGCATCAAGGAAACGCCGCGCCCATCGCTGCGTGAGACGAAGTGGCAGATTACGCTCCTCTTGTCCGTCTCCCAGATCAATCATCGCTGTTCAGATATCAATGTGAAAAAATCACGGTGATTGCACAGGAAATATGAAAACACATTATTTTCAACCAGTTAAAAAACTCCACGACAATATCAACAGGGGTCCATAACAGAAGCAGGGACATACTAGTGACACTTCCGCGGAGCGAATGTCGAAGATTCGCGGAAATCAAGTGGAAAAAGCAAAAAAAAAATAAAAAGTCCCGAACTCCAAAGCGGGCACTGCTTGCAAGAAAAGTTTGTACTCTACTCTGTACTCCAAAGAAAAGATTATTTTCGTTACCCATAAGAATTACCGCTTCTCAAAAAAACCCTGAAGAGGGGAGAAGCGTCATTCAGCCGCCTATTGTGGGTGGATACAGCTGATCCGATGGTGATCAACTGCTGATCGGTGCGGCCATTTGTGGGCGTGTCATTTGAAGGAGTTCGGATTGGTATGTTAAAGGCAGTTGGCACGATAAATCGCTATACAGATGTAGGATTTATACGACTGGCTTAACAGAATTCCGTGACCTCGGACAGGCGCTCCGTGGCGCCTTTTCCCCTATAACGCCCTATCGAGCAACAACATTCCGTCCCAAACGCCTTCCTCGCCCGCCCGCCCACAAACGGACGACCGTTTCTGACGCTCGTATTCATTCATTTGCTGAGCAAATTATGAAGCAAAGGGATTGGTATGAAGCGGCCGTGATGCTGCATGCATATATGGACATATGCAGCCGTATCTTCAGGTGATTGGCAAGATGCGTACGGTGATTGGCAAGATGCGTACGGGAAACTCGTCCGAAATCGATTTTCAAGTCACTGAGAACGGAGGCTTTTTCTTCGCCGGATTTTGACCGTTTCACTCCGTTCTTTCGCCATTTCCCCACTACATAGCGCCCTACTAGCATTTTAGGCCGAGTGGGAAACCATCGTGCCAACTGCCTTTAAGCTAGGCTTAGAGATCGTTTTCCGTTGGAAGGGACGCAAGGCTTTATCAGGGGCGTGGGACTGTTTGGTGATCGGCTTGTTCATCTCTCATGCCTAGCAGACTTATCGTGATCTTTGCCTTTACGAAGCATATCGGCTTGGTGGGGACATTTTGGTAGTTCCCATTGACCAGTGCGTGTGCCTTCAGCGAAGACATGCAAAAGAGACGTGCACGTCTTGCAAAGCTACGAAATAGCACGAGTTTCATTTACACTTGAAAAGAGTCCACAAGTCTCACCAAGGTGGGACGTCGAATTCAACAGGAATTAGCAAAAGTGTAGAGTACCCCTACTAAGCGGAAAGCGCCAATTCCAAGTTCCTGTTTCATTGAAGGGCCATATGGAGAGTCCTCATCCGCGGTACGGTCATATGGACGAGGAAACCTTCACCGACGGTGTGGCCTCGATAGCACATTCAAAACTGCGGTCCGTAAAAGTGCGTCTGACATGAATCTTCCGCAGTTCTACAGAATTTGGTTCATGTACATCGACACGTACCTTTAGTTTGCTTTCTTCGCTTTGATTCATTCCTCTTTTAGTACATTTAGTTCTTGTCAGAATTATCCTTATAGTTATAATTTTAGAGTGGGGTTGCACTATAAATTCGTCCGTGGAAAATTGATTAACATTTTTGCACACTCATCTTAGTTCAGTGCTACGCCAAACTTGAGCGGCTTTTTGAGCCTTTCTCTTCAAATTTACGGCAGATGGCCGGAGCATGCTTTTGATAGTGGATGGCTACTGATTTCATATTTCCTTTCCGATTTCCATTTGAAGGTTTATTCTTTTCGCGAGTCACGGTTTAATGATTTTATTTTTTGTTTGTTCGATTGATGTCCTTCACGATTACAAGCATGTTTTATTATTTTTTTTCTGTAGAATGGTGTTAGCTGATCTTGGCCGAAAAATTCGAAATGCGATCGGCAAGCTTGGTCAGGCGACGATCATCAATGAGGAGGAGCTTGACGCCATGCTCAAAGAGGTACAGTTAAAATTTTCAGTCGATAGAATGGACTATACATGAAAATGATAAGTTGTTAGAATTAAGAAAAAGCCTTATTTACCTGTACCTTCTTAGTAGTGCATTCTTGCTTAATCTGATGCAATTCTGCTAGATGCGGAGATGGGGCTTGGTTGGAGGGGTGGGCTTGGCACCATTTCCCACCACTTCTTGAAGCGAAGGAAAATGGACTTGGCACGGTGCCAAACCCATTTTCCACCTCTTCTTGAAGCGGTAAGCAACAGCAGTTGGTGGAAGGCGACTGATGCGAACGATGTGATGGAGTTTGTCGCTTGCTGTCTTTAACAACGAAGGGAAAACGGTGCTGGCGCAGCGCCAAATCAAACCATTCTGACACGCCCCATCATCCACAGCGAAAAAGACTAAGACTCTAACTACCGTGGATACGAGCTAGCTTCGAAATGGTGTCGAGTTGATTTTCAGGTTTGCATGGCACTTATCGAGTCTGATGTGCATATTCGTTTGGTGAAGCAACTGAAAGATAATGTGAAGTGAGTGAGGAAGTGGACGTGCTCACAGACTGCATTCTAGGATTTTTGTTGCAGAAAAGCCATTAACTTCGAGGAGATGGTTGGTGGTGTGAATAAGCGACGTTTGATACAGAAAACGGTATTCAACGAACTTCTCAAATTAGTGGATCCTGGTGTTACACCATATCAGCCGAAAAAAGGACAACATAATGTGATTATGTTCGTTGGTCTACAAGGTTCAGGAAAAACCACCACTTGTACAAAGGTAATAAAGCAGTTTACGCTGTTTGGGCATGGTGGAGATTACTTCTCTTCTTTCTTCACTTCACCTATTCAGATGGCCTACTATTACCAGCGAAAAGGATGGAAAACGTGCCTCATTTGCGCGGACACATTCCGTGCTGGAGCATTTGATCAACTCAAGCAAAACGCTACAAAGGCGCGGATACCTTTCTATGGTAAGCCATGAGTCTTTTTTCAGCTATAAGCGACGCATTTTCCCATTTTCATTTCCTCGAAGTATTATACATTATTATTTATTTGCATTTATTATTAGTCATTTTGCTATATTTGCAGGTTCTTACTCTGAAATGGATCCTGTTATAATTGCCGCCGAAGGTGTTGAGAAATTCAAGAAAGAGAACTTTGAAATTATAATCGTTGATACTTCTGGAAGACACAAACAGGA